TATCATATTCAATCATGCGACTGAGGCTCGAAATACTAAATGTTGAGAGGAACAAATGTAATGAAAGTCAGACTGTTGCACGGCTTTGATCAATACCTGTAGACTTCGCACCTCTCAATGCCTTATTCCTACGTCAGCCGTCGGTCATTCTTTCTACCTAATCAACAAACGACACTTTTTAATGTGAACCCTATCTCAGATTCTGATGTAGTCAAATTTTTAAATAGTTGTAACTACTCCTGTAATGTAGCCCCGGATGGTGTACCCACGATATTCTTCAAAGTTGGATCGCTTCCCTGTTGTGCTGTGCCAACCTAATTCTTTTTTCCTCCGGTTTGAGTTCCTTGAACGACAATCTTTATTAAATACAGTTTTTCTCCTCCCAGTTGGGGTCAAGTTGAAATCTCAACAAATGCGTTGAAAGTTTACATGGTTTTGCAAGCTCTTCATTCCCCACAGTGATAAACAATAATCTTTCATCTACAGTGAACTCTGTCAGATATCTTGATGTAACCATGACTAACATTCTTCGTTGGTCAATTCACATCCGAACCTTCGTTGTTAAACTGCACGCTTATCACGTCGAAATTGGAAACCCAGGTAGTTTGGCGTTTTGCAGTCAGTTATTTCAATTTGTTTGCCCGAGCGTTTTTCTATCTTAAGTAATTAATCCCCATTTATTTCTCCTGGTTTACTTAAACAAATTTCGAAACCTCACCTTGCAGTCTTACGAGGATTTTCCGCATTCCTTCAATTTCTTTAGACGAGTTAATTATGAAACCTTCATATTATCATACAAATTCTTGTTTCCAATCTCCTGAAGGGATTGTCAGAGACCCTGACCACAGATTAAAAGCTGAATGTACAGGTTGTCTTTTGTACCACTACACGCGTTCCGAAATCCGACAAATAACAGCCCATGCAAAATTAACCGATTGCTGATGGTCTACGTTTACTCATAAACAAACAGAGGGATATAAGTGAACTTTCCCCTAACCTTGGATCATGAGATGTCTCTATTCTGTCTGGGAACCAATGTTCCTGTTAAATATGATCCGATTACCACATGGAATGCGGTTCTTTTAAGTAAAATCAGAGCTTGTAATAGTTACATAATGCACTATGATTTTTAGCTTTCTCTGAATTAGAGCCGCATATAAAAATCCTCTTAATCCACTGCTGTGATAGGTGGTCCTCAGCTTTTCTCGGACAATGAATGAATCGTTCCGGGAGCTATCAGATAGGAGTGACTGTTTTATCCCTTCCAGTTCCTGGACTAAAATCTGTTTCCTTCTAAAAGCCTCCTCACCCGAACTAGGATAATACGGGGTAGTTGCACAAAACAGGAAGAATGACTATACTGTACTGTCTATATTGACATGAGATACGAAGTTTTGTTCAGATATGACTGTCACTATTATTTTTGGAGTACCAAGCTTGGATTAGCCCATTCGATTGTTCAGAGGCACAGTCCTGACAGGGACACAAAAAGTTCACACTGCTGATGAGTCCAAAACAGGACGAAACAGCTGTCCAGTAATCTTTGTCGGTAATCACAAACATTTCCATCGCATTTAAATGCATTCAACTAGTGAGGAATTAACGATCTCCCAAGGAGTGAAACCCACACCCTATTTATTACTCACAAACCTATCCCTATATCGTCTTATGTACAGTCATGCACATTTCTATTGCAAACTCATAAAATATCGCTTATACCGTAGTAATCAGCAAAACCCTCGAGCATTTAAATGATAGAGCAAAGTGGGAAACGTTTCCATGAATCGTAATAGAGTCATGGATGTTAGTTCAGTCCAAGAAGCGGAGGTGAGTATACGGTCAGCGGACTCACCTTCGTTGGAAGCGTTTATAGGACATGATCATTTCAGTGTTTCGGTAAATGGGTATTTTTCACTAAAATAAGCGATTGCGAAGTACCGGTAGTGTTACCTATTTGCACGGTAGGTTTTCACGTATCGAGTGATATCTCCTTAAGAAATGAGCATAAATGTTCAAAGAAAACACCCTGAAGTGTGCAGATCTGGTCCGCCATCCTGTTGTCCTACCGGTAGCACTCAGGCGTGCAAGAACTAGGGGCTCAGCTTTGAACCAAGTGACTAATAGGTGCTGTTTTTTTATCAATTACTAATGTACCCTCAATCACGATTCCGAGCTTTCCTTATGATGAAACTTAAATGCGTCCACCGCATACAGGCACAGAAAGTTCTGTATTTGCGCGAAAAATTTTTGTTGTATAAGATGGTTTGTTGTTTACCTAGTTAGAAGTTTTAGGTTTGTGAGAAGGTTATCTGCCCCCCCCGCCGAAGAAGAAAGAATTCTACTTTCGAGAATTCAGTTAAGTATCCTTTTATATTGGGTTTCTGAGGTATTTAGCTTATTTTGCTAATCAAACTGGTTAACACGCGTTCGCTGAATGCGAAAACTGTGTACTCACTGAATCAGAAGAACAGTGTAAGCAAAATATATTTTCTTTCACATTTAGATGTAACTCTGCTGACGAATTGGCGATGTATTGTGTCTGATAAAATCGTTTCCCGTGGAGGTTTTCCTGTACCATTTCTTACTCTCCTAATGGTTTTCTCAGTGTAGATAATCCGGCAGTGGTGAGATAAGAAATGTGAAAATCACACTGACCAGAATTTCACAGGCTCGATTTCCCAATTCTCTATTCCCTGTATGCAATTATAAGCTGATAACAGTCAAAGGTAATTCCATTTCAGCTCCGGAGGTTTGAGAATGTTTGACTAAATTTATCATACATGTTTTTTAAGAACTAATAACAATCCACTATTACACTCGGCAGTCATTCGTAATTCGTATGGAACAGTTGATCCGTTTAGGAATAGCACTGATTTGGATGGAGTCTATATGCCATTCCCCGTTGTTTCCACCTTCTATCTTTGTTTGTGTGCGTGGTTTGGTCAACCAAACCCTACTCCAAATTCTCACTCTTCCAATCCACGTTGTTGAATGGCATAGAGCAACCAAACAGTAAATCGAGCATAGGCTCGCTTTGCAACTCATGCAGGTTTAGCTAGTTGAGGGGATGGGAATTTCACATAAATAAGACTGTGAAAGGCGTGTAGGC